CCATGGAGGGCAGCAAAGGGGAGAAATTGGGACAAGTGTAATAGCATAATCAATAAAATATATTTTAAAATTCAGAAAATAAAACATTTGACTTGGTAATTATGTGGGTTTTGGATCAGACACCTTCAAAATTGGAGTTTTATTAGAAAATGTTGGTTAAGAGAGCTCATGGAAAGCAATGCATTAGTGAAGACCAATGCTTCCTGAGATGGGTTTACTGGGCCTATTGCTAATGGCTTGTCAGGGAGGAGAGCAGAAGAGTCTTGGGATCTTGGGACATTGGTTGTTTCAGGTAAATGAGTAAGTTAGAATCACCACTCATTCATCTAAAACAGTGATTTTCAACCTTTTTTATGTCTTGGCACATATAAACTAATTACTAAAATTCTGTGGTACACCAAAAAATATATTAAACTTTTTGCTAATCTGACAAAAAATAGGTATGACTTTAATTCACTTACAGTGGACAGCTATTGTTGTGTTGGCTGTTGTAATTTTTTTACTTGACAATCTAAGGCACACATGGCAAACACAAGGCCTGCAGGCCAAATCTGGCCCTCCACCTTGTTTTATTTGGCCTGGAGCCTCATTTCTACCTGGTGGCAGCACCAAGCTCCTTGTCCCTCGATAAGGAGTAGTTACATTTATACAGCCCTAAAATTACATTTGGCCCTCTGAAGGCAACTGCGAGACTGATGTGGCCCCCGGTGAAAATGAGTTTGACACCCCTGATCTAAAGGAAAAGAGGTCAGTGGCCCTGATTAAATAGTCACGTATAGTATGTTTTAAAAATTCTTGCAGCACACAGGTTGAAAATCACTGGTATAAAACAACATAGGCTTTGATGATTCTGGCCAAACTGCTTCTTTCCCTCCTCCATGATAGCTAAGGAAAGTTACACCAACATATCCTTTGATGCTAAGATTGTTCATTACCCTAAAAACCATAAAACTAACTCATTTGTATATCTTGATTTCAAAATAGTTCATAGCAGTAGTATTCCTTCTAGAGTTCTTTAAATTTTTACAATTATTTTATCTAATAAGCTTTCTCTACAGAGAGCTTGATTTTGCATGCATACTTATTCTGAGACAAGCTTAAAATTTTTATCTTGAATAGTCAGAGGTTAAATTCAAAGGTCCTTCTATTTGTTCATTAGAGAATATCTCTTTAGTTCATATAATCTCTGTAAAGTGCATTTAAATCAAAGTTGTGCTATCACCTCCTCTTTTTACAGATGCAATCCTCTAAAACCACAGGCTGGGAAATGGGTCATTTTTAGATCCAGTCCTGTTTCTCATTTATTGGTTTTCTCCTTCCTTCCTTTTTTAGCAACACAAACTCAAAATAAGTAATGTAAAAGCACTTCATCATCTGGGGGAAATTGAGAAAACTTCAATCAAACAAATAGTTAGGTAATTCACACACCATCGTTCTACATATATATTGTGTTCATCTTGTAAGTGACAAAGCCTTCTAGTTGGCTGATTGACTCTGAAAAATTACGTAGAAATCTCTCCTTCTTAAATGCTGATAAGAACTTCTTGTGTTTAATTTTTCTCCATGAAATAGGAACAATATAAACACAGGATGGGAACTCTTTATGCTTCCTTGAGCTTTGTTTGTCTGGAGCAAACAGGACTGCCCAGGCCCATTACACAGAGCTGCCTTTTTGGTCTCCACTTCAGCTCTTCTCAAGACATTTTTAGGGCCTCCTCCAGAGGCTCAGGCTGAAACAGATGTCCCTCTCGCCCCCACTTCAAACTGGTGTGGCATGAAGAAATACAAGAGAGAAGAAGAAAAAAAAAGCTTTGGTGACCATGTGTCACAGTACAGAAAGTGGTTTATATATTGAGGGAAAGTCAATAAAACCCAGAAAATATGTACCAAGTTGATGTGCATCATGAAGAAGAGCCTCTTGCAGCTTCTCAGACAAATCAAATACATGTGAGCCTTAGAGAATTAGATTGAGAATAATATGTCATGCTGGTTGGGGTTTTGAATGGAGGTCTTGAACATCGAAAGGCAAGTTGTTTCAACCTCAATAGTATTGACATTTTGAGCTAGAAAATTGTGTGTGTGTGTGTGTGTGTGTGTGTGTGTGTGTGTGTGTAGGGGACTATACTATGTGTCATTGGATGATTCACAGCATTATTGGTCTCTACCCACTAGACAACAATAGCACCCAATTTGTGGTAACAAAAAATGTGTCATGTGTACCCTGGGTGCAAAATCACTCCCAGATGAGAACTTCCCACCTGAGGATGACTTTGGAATATATGTGAGGCTCAAATGATAGTTGAACCTCACAGGTTTCTATGATCCTGAAGATGGGTTGGCTGCACTTTGGAAATTCAAATTTCAGGAAACTTACAACCAGAGAGTACTGGGAATTGTGTAACCTGGGCACATGAATTTTACAGATCAGGGAACTGGGGCACAAGACAGAGGGACTGCCTGAGCAAAGGTTCAATGGCAATCCACAGGAAGAGTGAGGTATGAGGGGATAGGAGGAAAAGGCAAGAACAGAGGAAAGAGGGGCATGTGACTACAGGAAGCACACCTGTACTGAGACATACTCAGGACAAACTCCAGTGACACCAGGAGCTCTCAGCCTACCTGCATTTTAGAATCACTTGAGAAGCTTTAAAAAAGAAGGCAAAACCCAAGCGTGGGCTTTACCCCAGATGGACTGAATCAGAATCCTGGAAAGGAGGCCTGGGCTTTGGTACGGTCTTTAAATGCCTCAGATGCATCTTTGAGTAGCCAAAGTTGGGCTGGAGATGGATCTAGAGACAGATGCACTCCAGACCAGAGCCTCTGAGACCTGCTGGTGGTTTCAGAGCCTACCTTAGGAGGACCAGCCCACCATGACTCACCTGTGACCAACAAGTGACCCTTAATTTCCCTCAAAAGTGAAAGGGAAGATCATTACCTCAGAGATACTATGGGTCACATAAAGATGCCCCACCAGCGCACCCTTTAGAACAGGCCTCACACAGCAGACAGGCTGCAGGACAGGCTACATGCATAGGCTGGACACGTGTGTTCGTAGCAATTCTATTTGCATGAGAACAACTTACTGAATGGAAAACTGGGCATGCAAATTAAACCCTGACTGGGTAACTGTGGGCCTAATGTTACAGAAATGAATATATCAACTGCTTCCTCTGGCTTGCAGCTCCTAAACCCAGAAACCAGAACTCCTACTTCCTACAATCTGATTTTCACTCCCCCAACTCACTCAGCACCTGCATTCCCTCTCTCTGTGGACTCCTCTTAGCCCACTGTGGACCCTACCACCTGAGTACAGTAATAGGAAGGTAAGGACTCCTCCAATCCTTGAGCCTCAGAGAACTTACACCATCACCAAGCATTCCCAATCATCCTCTTCCTGGCTTCTCCAAAGTGTCATGTGAACATCTGTTGTTTTTGTCTGCCAGACACAAGCTCCTCCTCCTTCTTGTAACAATATCCTGAGTTTTCTTTCTCCCAGAAGAAAAGACTTGCCCTCACTCGCAGTCCTCAATTTCTAGGTGGAGTTGGCTACACCTCCAACCCCAAGGGTGAGATTAGGACTCAGGTATGGCCCAATAGAACCCCGTGCCCAGGGTCTCAGACATGACTTCAAAGATGGGCACATGAGCCTATCAGGGCCAAGAAGCTGGAATCCAGATGGGTTGGTGTTTTAGTTGAGAGATTTACTATACTGGGGATGTTGCTGAAAGGATAGGGATGAGGCTGGGTTTTGGGTAGCCACTTAAGAAGCCTCTAGAAGGGAGAGAGAAATCAAGAAATTGGAGAGAAAGTGACGTAAATCCCAGAGCTTGGTGTGAGCTTCCAATATGGGCCTGTCTTAAGCCCCAAACCTTATTCTGGACTATTGATTTACCATAACCAGTTAATCTCTTTATGGTTAAACCAGTTTGAGGTAAGCTCCTGTCACTGGCAATTGAGGCAGTACTGAGGAGTGTAGGACATATGGGACTTCCTCTGATAATCAATTGTTTCCAGTTCACCAAATTCACTGCATAGTTCCAAAGGTCCTTTCCTTTGGGTTCCTAAAGAAGGTGGCTTAAGATTTCCACAGCTTCTTGTCACCTGCTAAGTCCAAATCTCTTTATCCTGTGTGCAACCTGGTGTGGGTTACTTTGGCCAACCTTTCCTCCAATCTCTCCTTTCTCATATCTTATGCTTGCCTCCCCTCAAGTCCCTATATCCCTCATGGCCTTGTCCATCACTCCTCTATCCTACGGCCTCAGAAGCCTTCCTGTCTGTGCTCAGGTGTCACCCCTTCCACCAAGTCTTCTGTGATACCACTGGCTCAGAGCCATGGCTTCCTCATCTGGAATCCTGTAGCTTCTTGACTAAACACTGTGAAGAAAGCATGGCACCATGTGAGGCCACAGTAGGCATCTGAGACCATCCTGTGCAGCACTAGTGATACATGACTTGCTTCTGTATGCCCATTTCCTTAGTCCAGCTACTAAACCATAAATTTCTGAAGGGTTCATGTCCCATTCACCCCTATTTCCCTTGCAGGGAAAAGATGCAGTTGGGAAATCATGAGATGGAGGCTCAGAATCAGTTACAAGGAAGCATTTTGACTGCATCTAAGATGAAGTGGGAGGTTTGAGTAAAGTGGGATGTGAATGTGGCACAGAGGTCGGGGCCCAGGCCTGGAGACAACCAGTCTGGGTTCCAATCTTAGCTTTACCACTGTGGTGGGATTGGGCCAGTTTCTCAGCCTCCCAAATCTGCTTCCTCATTGGTAAAATGGGATTTCTAAAACACATCTCACAGGGTGCACTGGAGGTGTAAATATTCTAGCAGATGGGAAACACTTAGCTCATTACCTGATATGCAGTGTGTGCCTGAAGCCGTGGCTGAGACTGGACATCCTGTGTAAGAAGGATTGCCTTTTACTCTTCCCACACCTCAGGCCTTTCTGGTCTTGAGGATTATATTACCAAGGATTTTTGTTTCTTATCTCTTCCTAGGTCTGGAAATGTCAGTTTTCCACCTCAGGTAAGCTATAATGCTCCCTTGCTTCTCTCTGAAAATTAATATTTAACAAAACTTCTCTATCATCCCTTTACTTCATTTACTCCCAATGCTCACCCTGTGCATGTTGTGCTGGGCACCCAACTCTCCTCTTTTTTATTTCCCACTTGCCAATCTTAGTCATTCAAAATCCAACTCTACAGGATTTTGGAAAAAGTTCATTGGGACAATATTTGTGATAATCTTTCCATGCTGCATGCTGCCAAATTGGTAATCCAAGAATATTTGTGTCCTTCCCTCCCTTGCTGTCAGTCAGTCAATAAATATTTATTGAGTGCCTTCTAGGTAACAGGGAGTGTGCTGGGCATGGGGTATATGGTGAATGGTGAATGGTGAATGGAGCAGACACACTTTTTGGGCTCACTACCTTCGAGTTGCAGCAGTTCCTTCTATGCCATTGGACAGTTTGGTCTGCAGAAGCACCTCCTGCCTTGCCATCTCCTTTCTTCAAATTGCCACATAAAAAAGAAAAACAAGACCTTCCTCAAGAAGGAACTGGTAATTACCTGCCCAGTCACCAGGGGGTGAATATGTCCATTGCTTTTTAATTATATTGGCTTTATTGTTTCATAAGAAAATAAAAAACAGTCTCAACAAGGAGGCTGCACAGTGGAGGAAGCCAAACATAACTTACACACCTTGTTAAAAACAATTAAGGATTGTTTGACAAGGCAGATTTGGTTCCAGATGGCCAGCCTCCACTCAGACAAGGTCAGGTTCCTCCTCACCTTCCTCCAGACCTTCCCAAGTTTTGCAACATCAATTTTCTTCAAATACAAGGATGAGATTGTAAGGGACACTGTTCCCACATTTGTTCCTTTTCTTTTCTTGGTGGCACCCAGGTTGTTTCTGCACCAACATGTATTGGCTCTGGATCCTCGGGAATTCTTTGTCAGTATCTTGGTCCCACCTCTCAGGTTGCCAGAAGACACACTTACTTCATCAGCCTCTTCAGACCTCCAGGTTTGTTTTGCTGGGTGAATAAGCTTGCCTTAGGAGACTTGGAAACAAAGCATTTATCAGCTTGCAACTTAATTTTAGGCATTAGGGGAACAGAAGATACACAAAAGACCCCTGTGATGTAACATTGGCTGCCTTCCCTAGATTCACTTCCTCCCTTCCCACCTCCATCACTGCATTTTCACATTACCCAGGACTGGCGGTTCTCCTACACATATCATGGTTGCTATGTTCTGTGTCCTTGCTTATGCTGTGCCTTCTGCCTACATTTCCCTTTTCTTACTTCATGGCTCAGATATTTGCTACTCACCTTTCAATGTTCAAAGGAGGCATTAGTACCCTCCCTTGCATCCCATCCAGCTCCCACACCTGGGCTGTGCTAATGGCCCTTGCAGATTTGTATCAGAGGGAGCTGTTCCTGGGTCTGTTTTCTTAAGAAATCATGGGATCCTTGAGGGCAAGGACTGACCTGTATTTATCGCCATCTTCCCAACATTTGATGATACAGTTCAAGGCACAGTCTGGGGGCTCTCAATCCTAATTATCTACTAGAATCACTGAAAAGTTTCTTAAAAATAAGCCACACCTCCTGGGGAGATGGTATGGGGCACAGCCCCACAACTGTATTTTTATGCAGTGCCACAGTGGTGTGCAGGTAAAGAACCATTACAGTCACCACTCAACAAACACAGGTGAAACTATTCGCCCATGGTGGGAAACAAAAGAGATTTCTGAACAATCTAAAATAGGTTCTTAGATGTCATCCTGACTCTGAGGACTCTGTGAAGTTATGGGGAGTAATTTGTTTTCACACACGGCTTAGTTATTCTCTAAAAATAAAGAAAGGGGAACAAGTCAAAATGAGAATGAAATTGCAGAAGTTTGGTTAAACCTAAACATCCATTGACAGAGGAGTGGTTAAATGATTATGATGTGTCCATAAAATGGAACCTTATGCAGCCTTAGTTAGAAAGGGCATTTCTCTATCTATGTACAGATATGGACCAATACTCAAAACATAATGATACATGAAAAAAGTAAGATATGAAGCAAACCTTTGTGGCTATTGTGGGTTGAACTGTACTCAAAAAGATATGTTGAAGTCCTTATTCCTGGTATGTTTGAATGTGACCTTATTTGCAGAAGTAGTAAGTTTAAGTACATGTCCTTAAAAAAAGAGGAAAACTTGGACACAGGCAGAGTGCCACGTGAAGATGAACACAAAGACTGGAGTGATGCATCTATAAGCAAAAAAATGCCAAGGACTGCTGGCAACCACAGAAGCTAGGAGAGAGTCAGGAAAAGATGTTCCCTCGGACCACCGGAAAGAACCCTTTCTGCCTAGAAAACACTAGATCTGGCCTCCAGCTGTAAGAGAATACATTTCTATTGTTTCAAGTCAACCAGTTTGTGGTGATTTGTTATGGCAGCCCTAAAAACTACATAGTAGTCTATCATTTTGTGAATATCTAACATCTATCTATCTATCTATCTATCTATCTATCATCTATCTATCTATCTATCTATCTATCTATCTGTCATCCATCTACATCATGTATCTATCCTTTAATATAAAGACTCTGAAAGAATACCCAGGAAACTGAGAACACCCATGGTCTCTGGGAAGGAGAAGGGGATGGCTGGGAGCAAGGGAGGAGCAGAGACTGTTTCTCCATTGCATTGCTCTCTTGCACTTTTTGTTTTTTTGTATTATGTTCACATGCTATTTATTAAAAAATCAACAGTTTTACAGTTATTGTGATTTTTTTACAGCTTGGGTCATTTGCAGAAGTGACCCAAGTATGTTGCTGAGACTTCCGGAAAATGGAGATAATGCTAGTAACTACCTTGCATGACAGGGCATGATGCACCTGGAACAGAGCTTGGCACAGAAAAGGTCTCAACGAGTGATCCCACAGGCTACTGTTTTTATGGCTAGCATGTGATTAAAGTGTTCCAAGAATACTTAAAATCCAAACAAGAACTCATGAGTGGAATCCTGGGCAGCCACACTAGTCTGTGGAGGCAGGCAGTGAAGCATGGGACTCATCAAGGGTGTATGTGCTGCAAAAAGGAGATCCTCCAGCTGTGTCTCTCAGCAGCAGTGCTGCATTTGGACCTGGAGGATTTTATGCTGGTAGGCTGGCTAGCAGCATTGCTGGCCCCAACACACAAGTTGTCAGTAGTATGCCTCCCTCAGTTGTGTAATCAAGTGTAGACATTGTCTGTGTCCTCTGATGCACAAAACTGATGCCAGTTGAAAACTACTGGTATCTGCTTCCCAGACCAATAGCATCAACATCACTAGGAGCTTGTTAGAAATTCAGAAGCTGGGCCCCATCTTAGACCTACTGAATCTGAACCTGTATTTTAACAAGATCCCCACATGATTCATAAGCACATTACAATTGCATTAAGCATTAAGCATTAGTGTTCTCCCCTCCTCTTCTACACATTTAATCATTGTGGCTCCATTTCTTATCTGCAAAGTGGGAGTAAGAACAGTACTCACTGCAAGAGCTTAATACATGTAATGCACAAAGAAGCACAGTTGGCCCAGCAACAAGCATTTGCTATTATTATTATTGGTACTGAAAGTTATCTATGAGTATTTTTTTCTTCTTACTCTGCAAAGTAGGGATTCTGAAGTAACAGCTGCAACTGTGTGTGCTATCATCTTTCTACACATTCACACTTAGTAATCTTAATGATACATCACAGTGAATAATTTGACATTACTTAACTCTCTGTACACCAAGTTGTGGATCGCTAAGTTGTGGACTGCATCAAACTCTACTCAAATTGTGATCTTGCTTTTCAAATTTCAGTGGCAAAGTCATTCATAAATTAAAAAAACAGCATCTCGTTTGTATTAATCAATTCACAAAATAAATATTTAACTAAAATTTGGCTTCGATTGTGCTGACAGTGATTGCTGGACCACTCTCTGTTTCTATATCAATGTGTTTTATTTTTCCAAGCTAATGAATAGAGCTCTCAGAAGCCCATTGCTCATGATCTAGCAAGCAATACATTAATAGTTTCACATAAATATAAAACCATATTCACTGCAGCTAGGGAAATAACTGTGTAGTACATAAAAGCTCCAAATATACAGTTGCTATCAACAAAGAAAGAATACTAGGCAATAAATGCAATTAGCTAAGTAATTGATGCTCTCTTAACATAGGAATTGGCCCTGTGTCACCCCAGCCATCAATAAAAAAAAACATAATACAAAGAACAAAGCCCTTTATTCATAAAACATGCTCTATTTTGAAGAGTCAAAAAATTCTGTACCTGAGGTTGTAGAGGGAGAAGACCTATTTGTGTAATTTGTGGATATTTTCAATCCCTACATGGCACAAAATCACATGCTCTCCAATTTATACTCCACCCACAGTAGGGAGAATTCAGGATTTTAAACGTTAAGCCCCAAGATTCTTTTAAATGTCATTTCTTTCATATCCTTCACATCTCCAGGGGCTGTTCTGTCCCAATTGTATAGTTTATTCATTCCATGAAAATGTATTAAGTCATCACTGGCAATGCTGGGGAGCTGGAGGCAATGGAGAAAACATCCAGGCTCCAACCGTCATCTGAAGAACCAGAAATGAGAAGCCACGGGCTCCCAGTCTGCTGTACTTGCTAGAAGCACTGTAGATTCAGAAACCACAATTCTCTAAGATAAATATTTAAATGAAATGTGTTTTCAATGGTACTCCTCAATGATAATTACTGGCTCACCCCTGTAATTGTAGCAGTGTGATTTTATCTTCTTGTTTCATGCTAATGAAACTTAAGATTCAGAAGATACAAAATTGTGAAACTTAGTGATGAAGGAGGAGATATAACTGTTCAAACTCATTGATTCTCTATATTTCTCCACCTTCTGATAACTTCTCTGTCAACTACTCAGCCATGTTGCAAAGCCTCCTCAAATTACACCTGTGATTCTGGCCTGAGAAGGCTCCATACTCAAAGTGAATGCCCCCAGTGACATGGACCACTACTCTGCAATTCCTTAAAGCCCCTATCTGTATTCCTTTGAAGAGGAAGCAGCCAAGCTTTGTTTCCAGTTCTGTCAAATCCACTCAACCAAGCAGTGATCCCAACCAAATCAACAGCACCCTTGTTAGTGTTACCATAGACAGTCAATGGAGCACCAGGGAGTCTCCATCATTGGCCAAGATTGTGGTGGGGGAGGTTCTTACACTGAGTGCACCAAAGGCTGGAAATATGAATGGATAGAGTGTGAGTGAACTTGTGGAAAGTTAGAAAGATGAGTGGATAAGGCCCTGAGTGTGCCAAAAGATAGCAAGATAATTGAAATAAATAAATAAATAAAAGGCCCTCCCTTCCCTATCTAAGAACTGTGGGCTTGAGCAGGAAGATGAAATGGATTTTGAGACGAGAGTCCACCATTTTCCCAGATTGTGTGGCTCCTGATTAAAACCTCTCCTTTTGTGCCAGCACCTGCCTCATGAGTTTGGCTTTTGTTGCTGTAGGCAGCTACACCCTCATGTTTTCATTAGAGGTTTTGGCAACTCTGGTGGGACAGCGTGGACCTTCATATGTATCAGAAGGCACAGGCAGGACCTGAATATTGAGGACCTAGCCTTCCTAGAGCATTACAAAAGGTGCACATTGAAAGAGTTTAAGAAAGGGGTGCCTAAACAAAAGGGCCTGCAGATGATGTCGATTATTCAACAGAAATCAAAGATCCTTCTGAATTTTTAGAAAGGATGTATCAGGCCTATCGAAAGCTCACTGATGCTGACTCACAGGCACCAGGAAATGTCCAAATGGTAAACATGACTATTATTGAGCAAAGTGCCCCAGATAGCAGAAGGAAGTTACAATATTTAGGCAGAGCAATAGGAAAGAGTCCACCCCAGCTGATGGACATAGCCTTTAAAGGTTAATTGCCATTCCTGGGAAACAATGAAATTAAAATAAGCCACTTTTTTTCTTAGAAATAATGCAGGGAAACCAAAAGGAGAGGTGGGACCTGAAAGAAAGGTGGAAAGAC